TACTACGAATACAGCTATTTCTCCACATAGTATTTTCCTGTCTCTTGACCATCTTTTTTCCCCCTCTGGTAAACAGTTCTCTGCTACCCTTCCTCTTCTCAATTCTATCCCTCCCTCGCCAGTCTTTCTTCACAGCTCTAACCCTCACAATAGCCCATCCATGCAGTAAAGTCCTGCTATTTTAAAGCAAAGAAATTACAAGACCTCAATATACAATTTCTATTATTTTAGCTCAATAGGATTGAATTATTTAGAATTATATAGAAATATTAACGTAAATTATAGTGTCATTGAAACCTCATTATTTAGTAACTGTAATCCAAATGGCAAATGAAGTGGTAGTTCAATGCCTACTGAATAATTTGTATATAGTTATTTACTTTTCTAAGTCCTGTCTTTTTAGCCCATTCTGAGCACATTTTAAAGATATACAAGACATAAAAACTCTGACACCCTTTCACAAGTCAAATCAACCAAACAGCTGTCACACATGCAGAGAAAATAAATCATTATGTGATAAATCAAAGCTGGTTTTGCTGCTAGCTGTGTTAGAGAAGAAGGGAAATCTTCTCAAGGAAGTTATTTAGAAAATAAATAATAAGTTCAATTTTTATTTCATGGATTTTCAAACACACTTCTGCTTGGGTGTGTTTTAAAAAAAGAAGTCTGACAACTAACACAAAGCTGAATATGATTTGGTTCCCAATGAAACCATGGATAAGTCATGTTTGAAAACGTATTTTCAGATTTTGATGAATTACATCAAGGTAATTAAAGGTGAGACTTGACTAGCTGATACACTTCCAAACATGAACATTCTTGTCTACACTCCAGGCAAAAATCATGTTGAATGTTTTGGCAAAGCTGTTTTCTAGCATGATGAATTTTCTCAAGTGCAATCTAGGCCCCAAGGGAGTCACTTTCCTGTTAATTGGAATACAAATGAAATCTGTCATTCAATAACTGAGGAACACAATGACATGTGGAGAACAGCAAGTATTCGTCATAGCTATATGTTTATGTGGCAACTTGCAGACTGTTGAGTATACACAGCAGTTACTCTTACAAAAGATCACCTCCATCAGAACCCATCTTTTGCCATTCAATATTCAACTTCTGGCAGAGGACACATTTTAGTACAACCGTATGTTCCTTCAGGGTACATCTCCCTGTACATCTTTGCCGTTCCTTGCTCACAGTGGCTTGAGTAGGAAGACAACAGCAGAGGTCCCAGTTCCTTTTTCATTTGGTGCAGCCTCACAGGGCTGGTCTGCCAGTATGCCAGGAGAACCTCAACCTCAGCATCCGAGGGCAGAACTAGGTCCTACTTGTCAGTAATGACAAGGTGGCGTTTCAAAGACATTTGGAAGTGCCTTGAAATCCTCCAGCGAGGTAAGTACAAAGCCCAGTAATTGCTGCTGATATTAACTAACTTGCCAGCTTGGTCTCTCAAACTTGTACAATATTTTAGCTGCTAGAAAACCATCAACATTAAGAAGCAGAAATATAAATACTGAAATCACTGTTTGCACATTATGCAGACTTCAAACCCACTCTCCTGGAATGAAATTACAGGCACCCTGAAGCCAGTGGGAGTCTGGGAGTCTAGCCAGAGATTTCACTGGGACAAAGATTTTTCTCTGCTATCCTTAGCTTTGTTTACTTCATGAGGTGGTCATGAAGGTGAGAGAAGTTTAGGCATCCTTGCTTTCAAGACTCTGGCTTTCAAAACAACATAGCTGCAGAGCTGAGTGAAATTTTTCAGCTGAAATTCTATTCAGCAAAAGTGCGAGTTGTGGGATCAACTTAGTTTTGCTGAATTGTTTGTGTAGGGACAGAAAAAAATAAGTGAAAAAGCTCGATTTTTATTTGAAATGACTTCATGACACTCCATTTTATTTTTGAATAGTAAGAACTCCTTTTTTTTTTCCTGGGAAATGAAATGTTTTGTTTATCCAGCAACTAATCTATTTCATACAGCCACATTTTTGAGCAGCCTGAAACAAATTTTAATGTTCTTTTTAGGTTTTCAGGATTAACAGCAAGCTGAAAAATTGGTAACTCAACACAGCTCTCCTAATAGGGGACAAGAAACATAACTTTGAAACTTTACAGTTTAAATATACAACCGAAGTAAACCTAGTCCATACCTTATGGCCTGATCCTGTTCCCAAAAATGTTAATGCAAGCTCTTTCATCGTTGGGATCTGCAATCAGTGACAGCAATTGCAATATGCCCCTGAAATCCAAAACAAGGAGAAGGAAATATACTTTCTGAACTAGTAAAACTTTAATTATCAGGGGGTTCTCTCGGCACAGTTTTTGCTGTTAAATAAATAGAGCATTTAGTCAAAACCATCTATATTTACTATACAAAATACTGAAAAGGAAACATTTTTAAAAGATACAGAAACTCAGGCTTCTGTAAAAAGAAACTGTGCTGCATGTTATTCATACTTAACACAAATGCAACACAGTATTTAAATACTGTGTTCATACATGGCTGGGGTGAAGTTTTAGTATGGGGATGCCACAATGTTAGAATTCACTTTCCCAGCATCTACGCAAGGTAGACTTCACCGAATCTCCAAATATGGTTAAACCCAACAAATCAACACCAAGTTGTAAGCAATGCTCAGGTGCGTTACATTCCCAAGTTCACTTGCACAGCCAGTACTGCACACTTTCCACTCAGATGGGATTTTGTTACTGGTGTTGTTATCTTTTCTAGCAAAATACCTCTGGGTGAGAGACCATTCATGCCCCTTCGCTGCCCTTTCTTAGCAAAGCCCACACCACTGGAAGCATTCTAGTTTTTGCAGGACGTTTTCTAGCTTTCAGCAATGAGCTGCATTTAGAAATTGGCTAAGAAAGAAGCCTCGTGTGCCAGCCTTTCCAGCATATGCTCTTCTGAAAAGAGAACAGCTTTAATTACAACTTCAGACCAAACGGCATGGCATCCCGTCGCAGGTGGAATGTACACTTGTGTGTTTGCATGCGGTATAACGTAAGTCACTTGAATACATCAGACTTTGTTAACACTATAATATAAATAAGCTTATTCCTTCTACTAGACATATAAATGCCTTTTTTTTTGCAGTCCATAATTATATATACATTGAAAAGAATGATACACAAGCAGCAAAACAGGCTTAGACTAGAACAACTCAGTGGTAACTAACCAAATTTGTGGCCTTTTCATATTTTTCAGTACAGAAATTCTGAATATAAATATTTTTGGACTTTAGGAATTTAAAAAATAAACAGAACAGTATAGTTGTCACACAGATCAAATACATTTTAAAAACATTATGTAAGATTTAACAGAACACACTGTTGACAGCTAAAAAAAAATAAAATAAACCAGATTTTTTAAAGGGGACAATAAGTCTAAACAACTGCTGATTCAGAGAGACAAGAGATGGACCTAATTACCAAGATGCAGTGATTCTATTCCAATTCCACAAGAAGGCAAAGCTTTCAACTTTATTTTCTTTAGAAGTCAATGTCTCGTGTTCTTAGAAAGGACAACAGCCTTCTAAAAGTTTCGAGTGCTCAGCAGTAGAGTAATATCCCATTTTAGATTGTTTAAAACCCTAGTCAGAAAAAAAAAAACCCTAATCATAAAGGTCTTATAATGATGCGGGATAGTTACATTTTACAATATATACTATAGACAAAATACCACAACATTTAAAAGAAATTGAAACCCAAAGCAATTACATTTGATAGCACAATTATGCTTTATGTGAGGAGTTCTCTACTTCAGAGTTCCAAAAGCAACGTGTTTTTCAGTCACTTCCTACCTGCACAATGGTGATCTGTACAAAACCCAACTGAATGTATTATAAATCTGGGCCCCACAGACCGTAAAACTTGAATGCACTGACCCTTCCTTTTCACTTTTCCAATTTGCTTTGGACCTTCAAATTTCTCAGCAGCCAGTAGGGGCTGGTGACTATGGTCTCATTCTCCTTCATGGAATGGAAGCCCTTTGATAAGAAAAACGTAGGAGAGGCCAGAATGACCGTAAGTGATGTTTTTCACATGCTGAATTGTCTCTAAAATGAGAAAAGCACAAATCTGTAGGAACTCGGGAAATTTAAATCAGAGGCAGGCACCTAAAAAGTGCCATGGTGTATGTTTATCGTAACATACGTAAAAACTCATTGTTGTGGAAAAAAATTATGTTAATATTCAAACCACAGATTTCTAAAACACAACAAAATGTACCTGAGAGTGTGCATTTTTATATATATATTTATATTTATATTTTTATATATATTTGCCAACATTTAAAGTATATTTTCCTCAATTCTTTCGCAAAACAAAGAACTGTGGATTTAAACAAAACAAACCCCCCAAACAACCCCTCTCCTTCCCAACCCTCCCATGAATTACACTTATGGCCCGAGCACTAAAATCTAGTGATGGTTCTGAAAACCCCATTTCACATCCTCCTCTTTTCAAACGGTTTCCCAAAACAGTGGAGAGTAAGAGATAGAAAAAAAAAGTAAAAGAAGTATATTTAAATATTACCCAGTATATAACAGACTGTACTTGTGTCAGTAAAGAACCTCGAAGAAAATAAAGTGTAAGTTGTACAAATGTAGCTCTGTTGACAAGTATAGCTAATATTTCCTTGTAATTATTACGATAGTTTGAAAGGATGTGAACACAAACAGGGTACGTGAATGCAGTATATTAAACCCCCCTGTAGTACATTACAATCAATAAAAAGAAAATAAAATCTGAATAATACTAGAGGTAGCAGCTGTTTGTTTTTCTGTTATTCTGAGTATCTCTGGAGTCCAAACCTTCGAACATTGCTCCCCTGATAAAAGGTTCGTGTGCGATCAGCCGACATACAGCAGACTGGTAAGCTTGATGTCTGCAAAAGTGTTTGAAGTATCTTTTATACTACAATGGAAGTAGTACTTGTAAAGAAGTGCGTTGACGACCTGCATTAAATCACAGCTCAAAAAGCTATGGCTGTTTGCTGTTCTACAAGCCACTTAAAAAAAAGAAATCAATCCACAAGTTTTTTAAGCAAGCTATGCAGTTCCACAACATATAAATAGGGTAAGTTTCAGGAGTTCCATAGAGCCTCTAAAATATATGCTAGCTGAATATTAATGGAGTATCAATAATATTAACCATAGTAATGCCTTAATTATGGTCTCATAAGAATGCGTTTCCTTCATATGGGATGATTCCTGGAGGATGCTGGTGGGATCTGTTTTATGTCTGATAAAAGTGATGGTAGTGGTGATGGTGCTCGTGGTGGTGGTGGTGTTCATGTCTCTGTATCATTTGTCCAACTTGGCCTTCATATAATATGACTGTGGGCAGATCTCTCACATGTTCCTTTTCCACAACTGTCCCTGGAGATGGGAAGGTTTTGCACATTTGGTGATTCTCCTTTGCCCTCTGCTTGTGCTTCTTGTGAACCTGTTGAGACTGCAAGGGGAGGTAAGGAAGATTCTGGCCCACCCGTGCACTTGGGGAAGCCACGGGCATGGGCGCCCCTTGAAAAGGTTTGTTTCTTACTGCCCTTCCAGGATGCCCAGAAGCAACATTTTTGCCCTGGGTCTTGGGAGACCTCACAAAGTGCTTGTTTGAGTCCTGGTTCCGCAGCCTCTGTTGGATTTCTGCGATCTTGGCGTATGAACTCTCAGCCAAATTGACGTAGCTTGGATCCACCACTTGGGATTTCCGATGGTGAGCATGGAAGGTTTCAGGTTCATGAGAACGGGATCGAGTCTGATTCACAACTCTGCTCGGTGGATCATGCTTTTGAGCTGCTGGAGGAGATCCTAGGAAATAGCAAGCTGACTTAGTCATCTAGTATTTCAAAGTTTTAATTAGTTGCATGCAGTTGGCAGGGGCAGCATCATTGGCAGAGTGAATTTTTCCTAAGGAAGTGAATGCAATTATAGCTGTCTAGTTTAATTACATTTAATAAGTGTGATCAGTAAATAACATACACACACACGCAAATGTATGTACATCTTCAGATTATCCTCTCTTGGTCATCTATCTGACATTCACCAAAATAACTAAGTGGAATAGTAAAACCTGACCGAGGTTCAGGGAAAGGGAGGAAATCCAGACCCCTTGAATTTGGGGACAGATGTCAAAATTCCAGGTATGAACCCACATTTTCTGATTTTGGCGTTAGTAGTGGATATAAAATCCCAGTTATGAGCTGGTTCATCTCAGAAAAGATCCCTGACATCCAAAAATCAGTCCTAGCTGTACACATAGGCTAAGTTTAACAGAGTGCATACAAAGATTGGTCTCCTAGGTTCATTTCCACGTTGCTCTACACAAATACTTCAAAGCACATTAACCACTCTGTTGTGATTCCTTCTCCACACTAATTATATTGCAGTATTCAGTCCCACTGCTTCCAGGAAGTTGTTACAGGCTGGTCACACAGGTTCAAAATTTGTTGCTCCCGAATTGGCACATGCAAGTGAAGAAAGAAAAGGCCAAAAGGTTGAACTGTAAATTACCAAATTACCTGGCCCAAACTTTGATGTGTAGTTTTCTATTCCTGCAAGATCCAAATAGTGGTTTCTCCTTTCAATGTTCTCATCAACACAGTGACGGTAGCACCCGTTGATAGGCCTGAACTGACTGTTCTTTCCCCTCATATAAATTGACCCCGATGTTGCAAATCAAATGATGCTTTCAAATTGCATCATACATACAAAAACAAATGAAAATGCTCCAAGGGTTTATTACATTCTGTCTTAGGGCCAAAACCATTCAGCTGGTTCTCAGTCTGGACATGCCAAAACCCCCCTGCTGTTTGATGCAACTGATGCCACTGCTATGAGGAAGCGCTGGAGCAAACCTCCTGTCAGATTAACATCCACATGTATCTGCTTCAGAAGGAGAGGCAGTAAAGGTGTATTAACTAGAATGAACCTAAGGAGAAAAAGTGTTGGTAGAATAGCTGGAGGTAACTGCTGCTTTCCAATATACAATTAAAAAGGTCAAATCAGTCCCTGGCTCCAGCAACTCGACTCCTTTTCCTGCTCAGCTTTGCAATTTTATTTATAGCAGAACTATTTCCTGAGAATGAATATCTGAAATACCATTCATTTATGAGGCAGGAAAAAATCATCCAGAGGTTTACGAAATTGTAGCCGATAATGCTGAACGATTTAATTCAGCAATTTAAATGGAAGTCTGCAGACATTGGTGTCTTCAATATAGCAGAAGGGATAAGCAGAAAACTCCTGATTAAATCACTACCTGTCATTCCATCTTGAAGACCACAAAGAGTTTTGAAGGGTTTTGCTTTTATATGTTGATTAAATCACTACCTGTCATTCCATCAAAGAGTTTTGAAAGGTTTTGCTTTTATATGCTCTGTGCAAATGCACTGAAAGACCAGATTTTGGCCTTGTATTTTTACACCAGTTGCTAAACACAGGTTCCATTCCATGAAGTGCCAAATATACTGTTTTTAGTCTATTAACACATTTGCAGATTTCCAGAGGCTAATAAACCCTCTGAGTTTTGGCACAGATTGCTTTCCTGGCCTAGGGTCAGAGGGTTTAGGACATTACAGAACTGAGTCCCTCGTGTCTCTGTCAGGCACAGATCTCCAGTTTCTGTGATAAAAGTCACAAGACTTAACCTGCATGGAAGACCGTGTTTGCTCCTCTTAGACACGGGTAGATTCTCCTGAATGGAGAAGAGCCTGCCTGGAAAGCAGTGAAGCTTTAAAGATGCTGCAGTCAGCTTTGAACACCCAAAGTGACATGAGGTGCTGTCAAAAAAGAGCGACTGTCCAGACTTTTTTTTTATTTTTAGGCAGATTGCCAACTCTTATGCCTTTCCTGCCTCAGACACACACAGCATTGTACAGTTTAGCAAGTCAGCCTAAAGATCTCGGGGCCATAATTGGCTAAGCAAAGGTTGCTGTGCTTGAGTCACCTGCAGAAACTACTGGGAGCTGCACAGGTGCTGAAGGCAACGCACCGCTAACCCAGAAAAAGCATCATGGGTTTAATGTAGCACGATGGAGCAACACTGCATACAGTAGTGCCTGTCGAAAAATGAGCTAACAGGGAACCTGTTTTTCTTTGTTATTGTAATAAATTCCGTCTCTCATCAAGACAGTGAAGGAAACTACACAAGTACTGCCACAGCCCTGCATGCTAATACCTTCCTTACACGCAAGATGACGTGCGACAATGCAAATATTCACCGTGAAGCAATTAGGCACTGATGAGAGACGCGCTCTACTGTCAGAGCTTACAGTACTTCTGAGAAACGAGGCTTTTGGCATCCAGCTCCTGGATGCTTTTTTTGCATAAACATGGGAAGATACGGGCAGCATGCACCTGCATCAAGCACAGGCTGTAAGAATATACATTGTTGTTGCTAGTTTCTTTCTTCTTTTCCAACAGAAAAGACACCTGCTTAAGTATTTGTGCAGAACATGAAAACCCCTTCTAAAATTCCCCCACCATCCACAGAGTTGCCTGCCAGTGCTCTTCCACCATCATTTTTATAATACATATGTTGGGCAAGACAGCTATAAATCTGCTTACTTGATCTTGATATTAGCCCTATAGATGAAAGCTCCTTCCTGTAGCTGCCAGGGGATGAAAAATCCCACCCACCCTCTATATCTTCCACTTTAGGGATAAAACCAGCTCTATCCATTTTATCTTGAATATTAATCACGTCTTGCCTAGAATTCCTAAGTGACTGAATTTGCAAAGCCTGTGTACTTCACACGAGCCTTCACTGCTGCTCTCCAGGGGCAGCTCTGCATTACCTCCTGCAGCTCCGTCCTGTCCAGGAGAGCCCTGAGGGGCCTGGCAGTCTGGCCGGAGGGTGCAAACATCCACACCCGTGTGCAGTGGCCAGGTTCCTTGTGCTGGCCACATCTAACAAGATGCAGCAAAAACTGCCAGATGTCACGGCTGCCCAATACCCATCTGCCAGGCTCACGATTCAGGCTGGTCCTGCCTAGGAAGCCTCTTAATTGAATGGACCAGGAGGACACTGAGTTGAGATTCTGCCCCAATATTTGATGCATTTATGGTTGAAAATTTAAGTGGTAATACAAACTCCACTTTGGACAAATTTCTCTAAGCTCACAGAAGTCCCAAGCTGGATTTTATAAATTTGCAGCTGAAGAATCAAATATAGATTCAGTGTAATTACTGTGTCATTTGTGCAAATTTTCCCTTTCCCTTAGCATGAAATCTTAGACTGAACCAAGCCTAAACACTCACATGGAGATGAACCATCTAGACCAAGTGATGCACATGGAAATATATCGAAATTGCCTGCTTTTATTTTTCTGCCCATTAAACAACAAATTCAAAAAAGGAATAGCACACACACTCAACTGAAATGTGAGCATTTTTTTAGCTGTAAAAATAAAAAAGATACCTAAAAGACATACTGCAAATGACTACTGCGTATTCTGGAGTTCAGTGGAGGTAATACCTAAAACATAGATGCAACTCACAATAACAGGGTATTCTCCAGATATGTGCTCTCACTAACCTTGCAAATGGCACAATAAAACACTTCAGTGCAATAAGGCCTAATCTGGATTGGCGTGCAAAATGATGGTGGACATTCTGTTCGGGAAGAATTAAACCCCTTTGCTTTTAACCTAATCTCTAGATGGCTGCAAGGATACCTGCAGCTGTGCAAAAATCAAATACTGGGTTTGTACTCAATGGGAAATAGATGCATTCTGAGTCATAGAGGAAGAATTCCAATAAAGACAACAGAGAGAGTTTTTCAAGTGATGAAACATGGAACTATTTAAAACTAGTGGAACTAGTTAAAAAAAATACTATTGGAACTTGGAACTATTTAAAAAAAAATTCCTTCAAGTTTACAGTAGTGGTAGAAGCTCGAAGCTAATTCCTAGCTGGGTGTTACCCCACAAATAAAACATCAATAGGTGAGGTTTTGTCGAAGCTAGCCCTGTCCCCTAGGAGCCTCTCTGCTCTTACCTGACAGAAGCTCGCTGCTTCTTTTCAGAGCTTCTTCCTTCTTCGTTGGCTTTGCTTTCAGCTCTGTGCCTGGCGCTCTGCAAATCTGCCACCAAGAACAAGTATGTTATTCTCCCATGACTGTTGTTGTTCGCCTGTCTAACTAATATGCTACACTGTAAACACATCCTTGCTTGTCTGTAGGTCAGGATGTAATATATTATTAAGCTTAACCTCTTCAAAAGTGCTTTTGTCCACAAAACAGATTTTATGAAGACAACCTTGGCTGCGGGACGTGAGTCAGGGTTAGGCTCAAAGCCATGTGGTAGGTTAGACTGAGCCACATTCACACTTGGGAGCCCTCAGGAGGGCTTGTTAGTTTTTGGAGCTCAGCACTGTACTAATGCAGCATGCAGCTTCTCAACGGGGCAAATTTGCTTGTAACTTCTCTTGACTCAGTGGAAACAAATATTAAGACTGAGATCCTGAGGGTCTCCTTTTGGATAACGCACCCACATTTTTTTCTACTGAAGTTTTTACTCTAGGTACTTTCACTGTTTCAATTTCACACTATCTTATCTACTGAAGTTATCATACTGATAGACAACTATTATTAGAGTGAACACAAGGTGAATAAGTCATCAAAGTATAAGACATTTTATAACAGTATATATGGCAGACAGCCAATATTGAGAAATATGGTCCAATTTTTATGTTTAGACCAACCTTGCTAATAGATGCATCTTTGCTAACATATCACGTTACAGACAGTTGTAGCCTACAAGGCCTTTCAAATTCCCGTGTGTGTCTGGTAACAACGCTTGGCCCAGTATCTCTACTTAAAATCGACCAGCATGCATTAGTCACAATCTTTTCATTATCATGTATTTAATAACTGAAAGACCTGTCCAGATTCCACACACTGCAGAATTTTAAGTGAAGGGGCAAATAATAATTTTTTCATTCTACTATTTCACTTCTTAAAAGTTCTAGCTGAGTGCAAGAATTATCATTAGTATAATTTTTATGGTATTTTACATACTGAGATTCTAGCTTACAGTGATAAAAGGTTATTTACATTGAATTATTCACCCTTAGCGTGCAGTAGTGGTAGCTATGTATTTTTATACTAGCACAGTTGTTTCCATCCAAACTGAAGACTATAACAATACCAGAAGAGTTAAAGCAATATAAAAAGAAAAATTAAAAGAGAAATTGCCTTGTAGCATGCAAACACAGTCACACAACACATGGGGTTTTGCTGCTGCCAAGAGGAAATGGTCAGGATGAGGACCTTAATACATTTAAGAGAAAGGAGGACAGGCAGTTTGCACCTCAGATCTTAAATGGATTCTTGGGGACTAAAAAGGTCACAGAATTACCTGCCCTAAAATACATATTTGTATGCATTAACAAAATCTGAAGATCCTCAAGAATGGATCTCCTTAGAGATGTTCTTTTTTTTTCCAAATAGCTGACTGCACATGCTTACCAGAGTGATTTAACAAGATGCTCTTTTTCTTCTGGCTGCTGTCTGGTGCCACAGTGAGTTTCACTCTCAGGGTTTTGCTGGAACTAGGTGAATGGTTTACTGATGCATCAACTACCTCATAGATGGTATGAAGCAAGCTGGTAATATCCTATAGTTGGATTGAAACACAAAAGACACAACATTATGAAAGTGGTATGAAACCTACAGCTTTAATACACAGAACTATTTTGGACCTAGGACTACTAAAGCTGAGTATCCTCAGAACTCACCGAATTTTAAAGGAGCAAAATTTACTAGAAACTTAGAGGAAAAAATCAATTTTTTTTAAAAAAAAACTCTTTTTTCCTAGTTTGGACTGTAATTTAACTGAAATAATCAAAAGGAATGTTTGAGCACATCCATATTCTTCAGCATCAAGTGATGTAAGGTTTATGAAATAGGGCAAAACATATCAAAATAATAACAAATACACAATTTATACTTTCTCTCCAGACATACACTGTGAATTGGCCAAACTGTATTTCTTTCCTTTGGTTTCAACAGAACTGAGGGATAATTATTCATACTGCACTAAAAAGTGAGTTCATATGACCAAAATAAATACAGCAACCAAAGAAACATGACATTTTCAGGAAATCTTACTACTTCTGGTTATTTTCTTGGGCTAGCTAAATGGTAGATTGCATAGAGTAAAACTAGTCAGAGATGTGGCTGGACCGTAAAACTTATGCATGGGATTAGATTAGATCTGAATGTCATTCTACCACACATGTCCATGTCTAGTACTACATGTCTTTGGCCTAGTTTGCCGAATTCAAACCAGTTCTAAATATACATTTTTGAACAACAGAGATTGCCCACTTTGGCCTATGAGAGAATATTCTTTGCATGCCTCCTTCAAGGCAACAGGACATGAACTACTCCTAGAGTGGCCAGCTATATCAGAAGGAACCGTAGCCAGCTCTGAGAAGCCTGTTGTCTCCACTGGCCGGCGGGAGGAATGCCATGCTCCTCATCGCGCGGGAGCTTTCTTATGTTGAACTAGCCCAGCCAGGTATCAATAACGTACTACCTTAAACTGCCAGTACGTAAAGATGTCTTGGTTCGCTATTTCTCCCCAGGGGGACTTCATCCACGTTTATCTTGGACACCAACCTAGGGCCAAAGCCCTTGGTTGTTGCCGTCTATAAATATGCAATTCAATGGATAACTGAGAAGTTACCCATGCTGGTCTTACTGTTCCTTGATTGGTTCTAGGACCTATACTCTTTCCAGATGCCTGCAAGTACAGAGGAAACATCCACATCATTCTTTGCTAAATATAACTAGTTCAGAGGAAGATTAGATCCCAAAACTCCAGGGCTTTCCTTTGCTCAGGGGTCACAGAGTTACCCATGGCAGCCTCCAAGGGCAGCAGGCCCTAATGAGCGCTGGCAGCCCACAAGCCTTACGCTCCTCCTTCTCTGACCAGCTTTCAGGGAGACACAGAAATGCTCATCTCTTTTCACACAGAATATTTTGTCCTCAATGGACATTTAGAGAAATACTGACATCATGGTCACCACAAATGATTTTGAAGTTGATGATTTCCAGCTCAACGGGCGGAATGACTAAATCCTGGTGGGCCCAGATCTTGTCTTAATATGTACCATCTAACTTTCCTAAACTCAGTGGAATTTCTCCAGACTTGAGAGTTGAAGATCAAATATTCACAAAACAGAAAACAATCTGTACTGTCTCCTTTTTTTCCCCTACTGAAATATCATTTCTACCAATACTGCAAGAGTCCCTCTAGGCTGTCATTGCCATGCCCATAGCTGCTTTCCATCATCCTGACAAGAACTACTGTCTGCAGCCTGTATGAGGAAAGGCTGCTCAGTGACAACCTGGAGGTCACCTCACAATTCTTTAACCCATTGCACTTCTCACGCTTCCACCCTAATTTGAAACCTAGCCAGACCTCCACACAGAGACCACACTATCTCTCAGGCAGCTTCAAAGACCAGCCTCATTATATTTGAAAGAAAAATTCAGTCTAGCAATAAATAAACATAAATAGACAAGCAAAAAACACTTTCTGACACCTTCTAGGAGCTTTGGGCTATAATCCTGCACCTTAACAAACCAAATCTTCCCTTTCAGCAGAGCACTTACGTGATATGATTATATTTAACAGGACCTTATGCACTTAGCAAGCACTCATCCCTCGCGCCCTGCTCTCCACGCTGTGTTCAGCCAAGGCTGCAGCTTTCTGCACCAGGTTATCCTCAACAGCTCCTTCCTCAGTGAGCATCTAAACCCCTCTCCTTTCTAGAACTGCACCCCAGGTTTGTATAAGCCAACCATCTACTCTCTTTTTACTTCAGTAGGCAAAGAGTAGAAACCTTTACTCCCGCTGTCCTTCATTTTCCTGGTGGTGAACTTGCTAACTTTACAGTCTGTCCCTGTACCTCCTCTTTCTTCTGTGGGGGCCTTTCCCAACAAGCCCCTTGTCTCAGCAGTCTAGAAGGTTTCCCACCTGCTCCCAAGGAAGGCTAGATGCAAACTGTGTGTGCTGCACACTGCCAGTCCGACGGGCATCCGCGCACACACTGCATCAGGACAATTTGCATCTCGCAGCCAAACAGGCCTGAATTAACCCAAATCAATGGTCAGGCACCAGGAGGTTTAAGAGACTGCACAAAGATATGGAAACACCTCATGGTTTTACAACTCTGCTGCTTTCACGTTTTGTTCCATTTTTCATACAGCCTTCTCCATGACAGTCTGCTCAGCTGCACGTTTTGGAACCGAACAAATGTGGTTGTTGGACTGGATATATACCAAGATCGAGGTCAGGAATATACCACTTAATGCAGGCAACCACTTCATGTTTATGCTGATCTTTTAAATACCAGCAGCAACATTTTTATTATAGGATTCACTTACTTGTGGTCCTAAGTTGGGGTTGGAAGTTCTAGTAAACTGACAACTCTGGTTTGGTCAAAGAAGTCTTCTCAGGTGACCCATCTATCCCCCAAGTCAGGCTTCTGCACAAGCAGCTACCAGCTACTAGGCAGCTTGCACCTCCTGCTGCTCTCTAGGTATTTCTTCGCAATTATAACATCCAAATCCCTGGGGCACTGATCTGGTAGGAATCAAAACAGTCTTTCTTCAACAACTTTCTGAAACCACCTTCCCACAGCCCTTTTCTGGACAGCTAATACGGTACCAGCTCCGTGCCAAATTATCAGACCTGGACAACTACAGTATACATTACAAAATTTTTGTTTTATAGCTGTGTCTATAATTACCCCCAAAGGAATTTTCATCTGCCAGCAGGCCTGCCCCGAGAGTGGGGCAATTCAGGTTTCCCTCAAACCTGTCCCATTGAACATTAGCTGCATTTAAATGACATTTAAATTGAACTATCTACAACTATTGATGCGGCTTTACCTTCCACCCACCAGCCTGTGCACTAACAGTTTTGCCTCCCTCAAAAAATTCAGCATCAAGAATCAAGAATAAAAATTATTTAACTTTTATTCTCTCCTGGGACACCAACCAGCATGTCTCTTTTATTACCAGAGAAATCAGCTTTTCTGCACTATGCACTAGAATTTTACTAGTTGCATGTTTCTGCAACTGCTTTTTATGACTAAGAGTACTCAGCACTTCCTGCACAAGAACTTTAATCTCACATTTCTCAAACTTCCTCCCTTTTCTTCATGAAAAAATACACAAGCACATAATTTTCAGTTTTGCATTTTGCCAAAAATAGTTTTTGCTTAAACATTTTAAATCGGTTTTATTAGAAATCATTTGATTTTAAAGTATTTTATAGAGGGAATAAAAATTTCTCCTTTATAGCAAATTAATTACATTTAGTGGGGAAGTAGCCTGTGTGAATCCAAATGACTTCTGAAGGGCTTCTGATGTGCAGAATTTCTACTGGAATAGCTATTTTAATCAAGTAGGAAAACTGAAACAGTGATATTTTTCTTCAAAGAGAAAAGCAAAGGCTTTCTGGGTAGCATCCAAGCAGCCAGCACATGCCATACCCAGTTCTGTTTGTGTCTTGCTCACTGAAGACTACACTTGTTTCTTCTAGGCCTGCAGGATTTAACAGTGTTCATCTTCGTGTTTTTCACATCTATTTTATCAAAGGGCTAATACAACAAAGTATATTAAAAAGAGCAACTCTAACAGATTGCCAGAAATATTTGCTGTAGAAACAACCCAAAACATATGCTTAAGGCCACACATATATAGTGCATGCCAGAATGCATCACAAGTCTCCAGTGGGAGACTGGTGGGAACTCAGAACACCCAGGGACACTAATGTGTCCACAAAAAAAGAGAAAGAATGAGTGACATTTATCACTCTTTCTCAGTAACTGATGTTACTGAGAAAACCTTCATTCCAGGTTATTAATTTATTGCTTCTAAAATATTAACGGCAGAGCAACACTCCCTTTTTGTAGCCTTAGCAAAGCTTCTGAGCAGAGGACTAGCTGTTACCAAACGAGGGATTCTCCTGAGGAAACTAAGAGGCTTTTCCAGCTGAATTAATTTAACAGAACAGGACATTTGCACAAAAAATGATAACCAATGAGTTTAACACTGAGAAGAAACATTCAATTTGGTTCTTTGTAACAAAAAAAAGTTAGTAGGATTTTATTTCTTAATATTTCTCTCTGGTGCAAATTCACCAAATCTAGTGGCTTCCAGCGATGGGCCATCTGATACGGACAGCCTCCTCTGGCTGTCGGGTCCATTGCTCTTCATGGATTCACACAATAGTGACAAATGCAGCATAAAAAGTTTCAAGAGAAGGGCCAGCTTGATAAATCATAGCCCCAGAAAAGCCAGTGCCCTTCCCCAAGCCTAAGACTTAGTGCTGAGTTTTGAATGCAGAAGTAACCTCAAACCTTTCAATCACGTAAGAGAGAAATTGGGTATTTAAAGTGAGATACAAGGAACATTTTTAGTATTAAAAATAGATGAAGAGAAACATCAATATATGTTATCTTTCCCGCAGCAAAAAGAAAAGTACAAATACCTCATTTGGCAGTTGGCTTGTAGTCTCATTTTTACATACAGCAGGACATTTTTATTGAACCATCAGCTTTGTTTGATCATGCCCATTTTGAATCATTCATATTTGGAATCTGAAAGCAGCCCTTGCTAACTACTCTGCAACTAGTCCAGAAGAAATCCCCTTTCTGGTGTGTTTATTCCTGTGCAGCCACTCACCAAAAAAAGTAAATTTATCAAGAAAGAACTGATTGCCAAAGAACGGCTGGTGTTCCTAAAGCATAATTACATTCAGAGCGCTCAACATAAAACCTCATGGATGAAAACACATTAGCTCAATTATCCAAGTTTCAAGTCTGATTACAAATATCTGTGTGAAGATAATTACAGTGCAGCTGTCAGTTCTTAGGAGCCCTTGCAGTACATAATGAATTGCGCTCTTAATGGTCGACAGAATGAAGGGAAATGTTATGAGCCAACTTTTGTAACATGTATACATTAGAGCAGGGAAGTGATCTCCTACTGCACCAAAAGGGCACACGACAGTGAAAACAGTATTTTATTTTATTTTATTTTTATAACTTCCCAGTAATTATGCTTTCATAATGGGTGTATCCCTTCAAGAAGCATGACTAGATCTGAAATTCTAATTATAAGGACCAGGGAGCAAGTCATACAGACTCTAGCAGGAAATCAAAGCAGTATTAAGTTCTGAATATGTTGTTAAGATCCAGAAGAAATTTCACTAAGATGGAATTTGAATGCTCTTGCAGTGATCTGTCATTGTGTAAAACCCAAGGGACATTTTGTCTAGTAACTGAATCCACATCTTATTTACAATTTTCAAACTTTTTAATGAAAAAAGCATTCAGTGCATTTGCAAAAATTTGCCCCACCTACATGCCTTTTACAAAGTTAACTTAAGGCTGTGTATCCCTTCAGAAACTCTCTGGACATAAAGCCCGAACTTTTAAACACAAAGTGACTTTGAACCCAATGAAATGGATGGCAGCAAGTCCTCCCCTTTTTCAGTTTCTCCCTTCTCCAGCACAAACAAGCACATAATGCTGACTTCCCCTTGTAAAGCACTTCCAAATCTACAGAGAGAAAATGGACTTAAGAGCGTGACATCCAACTGTACTTGGAGATAACTGCAGTTAATCCAACTACAAATCCAGGAGACAGTCAGTACAATTTTCAAAGAAGGGGTAACGTTTCACCCTAAGCTTTTCTCACCAGAGCGCTGGCCCTGCGCTCAGCCCAGCTGGCCGCTCTGGGGCGTTTGCAGCAGCGCCCGCTCCGCGCGCACCGGCTGCTGCCTCGGGGCGGCTGCGCGGGAGCGCTGGCCCTTCCGCCCCGCTCCCACAACGTGCCTCACATCCGACTCAAACACGCGCCCCGCTCGCTTTAACTGAAACTGTGCATGTGCTGATCGTTCCCCACTGCCGTGTCCTTTGCTGGATCGGGAGCAGGACTGCTCAGCAGACCCCAGGATCAAGCCCACTGTTTTGACAGCCACCTCTTGGCCGTTAGCAAAATGAGAAATTCTACATCACATCTCTAACCAGTGTTACCTATGAGCTGCTCTTGTCAGTCATCCTTGCACAAACAACTCTTCAATTGCATCTGGATTCAGCCAAGGAGAGCCAGCGAGTTGTATACAACTGGCACTGGGACAGCTCACAAAAAAAGTGTGTAACATAACTGGAAAACTCTGAAGTGGTGCATACTATTTGTTTCTGTCCTTGGTCACATGTAAGGAGCTGAAAATTATCAACCTTTTTGGTCCCTTGGTTAAAAGAATTTTTCTTGGCACAGGTTCAAGCCTGAATATAGCAAGCTCCAGACCTCAGAGCAGTATAATTTTCAATCCCTGCACAGATTTGGTTTCACTTAAGTTGCAGGCTGCTCTTCCAGAAGGGAGAGGTAGAATTTGGCTGTAATATATTTTCTAAGTACAGTCAAATTAAGCTCTTTGGTGTACCACATAATCACAAATAATTATTGTATACATACTTAAAAGCAGATTCTTGTTATGTTCAGCATATGGAACTCCCACTGACATTAATGGGAATTCCATGCCTGAACGTAAAGGACACCCATGTGTGTGGGTTGAGGGTTTTTTTGTTGTTCTTTTTTTTCCTGTTCTTGAGAGTCAAGATAATCTTCTAAGTAAGGCTTAGCCTTTGGGTCTCAAAAAACGGGGGTTCAATCTGCCACAAGGCTCTTGCGTGACTTCAGGCAAGTTACTTAATTTTTCTGGGCTTGGTTCCCTATACATCAAAAAAGACAATATTTTTTTTTCTCCTTCCCTCTTCTCTGTATTTTTCAATGTTGCTCACAATATACGTCAAAAGCCCTGAGCAACCATCACATATGTCAACTTGTTCATAAATGCCAAAAAAGACTTGCTTCAGTCTTCCAGAAAAAGAAAAACTTCTATCATTTGCTATCCAACGCAAAAAAAAAAAAAACTTCTATCATTTGCTGTCCAATGTCAGTACATCTTCAGCATTTGCCCTACTCCTTTCACTCAGTATTTTTCATACACCAGTATAAGAGCTGGAGACAGAAACGGTCACTGATCAGCTGGTTAGCTGAAGGCATGGGAGCCAGTAAACAGGCTTCTCAAAAAATCACTGGCACTACAGTGCAGTAAAGCTCAGAAAAAGACCCTCTTCTGGGAATTACATTCAATCTTGATAGAAATAGCTCTGAAAACAGACTGTACTCTAATCTATATATTTATAGCAATGTGGGCTTCTTATTTACACAGGAAACACAAGTTAAAGTCACCCCGAGAATACAAGCTGCACATAGGTATTCTTCTGACAGCTATGGTCCTCCAGCAAGTATCACCGATGTTATTTATATTTGGAGCAAGCAGGCAGAGATCATAGCCTAATATCCATGAAAACAACAGAATAGTATAGTTAGTACTACTGGAAAGAATTTCAGAAAGCAAACTTGCTATTTGGTTAGCTTCACTCTGAAAAGCAGGACAGGAGCCAGAACAACATACATTTGCAGGGGTTTATTTTGACAATGTGTTTAGCGGTTCGGTTGTTTCAGATATTTTCCCCCTTGAATGCCAGTGCTGTTTTTTAAAGGCTAATCCCAGATATTAAACAGCAACAGGCTTAAAAGTGGTACAGGACGTCTGAAAAGAGTAAACTTCTGGTGGGATTGTTTCTAGGAGGGAAGGGTCCATGGAAGCTGCTGTTTGAGTTGGCAGGATACCTTTATTTCATAGAAGAAAAAATGTTCCTGTTATAAAACACTTCTCGTGTTCGCAGCGCCGCACACAAAGGGGCGGCTGTACTTTGCTTACCTCGCGGGTGACTCTTCCGTTGTTATCAAAGTCATACAGTGTGAAGGTCCACTCTTGCCTGTTATCTTCCTCTACAGACACATCACATTGCAATTCCTAAGAGACATGCAAAGAGCAGCTGATTACCTAAAGCAAAAGGCCTGTTTGCAGAGGAGACGCCGGGCGAGGAGGCCGCCCCGCGGGAGGCAGCCTCAGGAGAGGTGCCGGGGCCCTGCTCCGCCTCACGGAAGGGGCCCAAGGAGCCTCACTGCAAGCACGTGGCAACTGCAGCGCCTCGGGCCGCACTCCTGGCAGCCTGCAAGACACCTTCTACTTCACTGTAGGAAACACAAAAAGATGCAAGGAAACTACTCCCTGAAGCCATTGGAATATCATAAGATTTACCACTAGAAAGTGAGGATAAAGCTCTGCTGAGCCCAGGAGCAGCACGACAGAGAAGTGGGCACACAACAGGAGCCAGCACAGAGCCAGCAGCAGTCAGTAGCACAAAGCAGACAAGTGGCACGAGCCCCATCCATGACACAGATACTCGACACGCTGGACATCAGTGGAGTTCGCAGGGACTGGCACGATGGTGCTGTCACCATTCCCAAAACACAGCCTGGCTGGGAAGGGGAAGGTAAGAATCACCTGGGAGAGGTGCCCGACATATTTTAGCTGTGCTTCTGCTAATGAGAGTGAAATCTGGGGAAAGCCTGAAAGAAACAATTTGCTAACAGGAGAAAAATTCCCCAAACTGAACCCCCAATGTCAGCCAAGGAGAAAGGCCACGTGTGGCCGGACACGGGCACCTGGGTGCAAAGCACTCGCTTTCGCCCGAGACAGGGCACTCCGGCTCGCCCAGGGCCACACCAAGGCAACGCGGGAAGTTACAGCACAATTAAAATGAAAGCCACTGTATGCAAGAAAAATAAACAGCTCCAAATAGCTTCAGTGTGATAGGGCTCAAAATACCTGGTTGATGTTCTGACTTGAAACCAATTCCCTACAGCAGTTACGGGCACCCCCTGTCCCCTGCTGAGTTCAAAGGCAGGCTTCTCTCCGGCGTAACAAGCCGGCCGCAAAGCTGCCAAGTGCCCCACACTCCGCTGTGGAAACACAGTTTCGTGTTACACAAACATTCCCAGCACCTTTAAGAGCCAAATCACATCCACCTCAGATTTAGACCTCTGGTCCCGACACTTGTGTTTCTGCTTCTTTTATACTTGGTCATAAAATGAACATGTTTACCAATCTCTTAGCCCCTGGCTGACATGGTTAGAAAACTTTGATTTGTAGAACAAAGGAAAAATATCAATACTTGTTTTCTTGCCACTTATTAATAGTTCCCTGTCCCACACTGCCTAACATAACATCTTTACGTGAGGATGTGCTTTGCTTCGTTAAGAGCCGCGGCAATCTTCCCTGCATTAGTCATGGAGCCTGCTACCAAGTGCTAACCTTTATGGCATGCCAAGAACTACTCGGGAACAAACGCAGGCTTTGCTGGGACGCTGCAGTTCCAGCTCTGCTGGCACCGACCGTGTGGACAGGTGCCCTCCAAGAGCCAAATATCAGGGCACTGCTAATTGCAATTTAGCATGCCTTTCCTGTGTGCAAATGTCTGCTCCTCAATGCACGCTATAAAATGTGCCGACAAAAAGAGATAGCTCTGTGCAAAAAAGGCCTGAGCAAAAGTCGCCTCCCATCCTAAGGCACCCAAACCTGTAGCAACATCTGACCGGCGTATGGGAGAGCTAATGCCTCTTAACTTGCCTTAACACAGTGAGGAGTAAATTGTTCCAGGTACTGAGCCTTCTTGAGAGAGGGAAACAGAGTGCAGCTCTGCTGCAAGGTGGCTGGATGGTCCCTTAAACAGCACGGGGGAACGCAAAGCTCATTAATGTGACAGGCTGACAGCCCTGCAAGGAGAAGTTTGCCACGTCTGTGAGTGCAGAGATGAAAATCCCTGCTGCTACTTGCCAGTACCACAGCATCCTTCTGTTCACCAAGACAGACAAGCCTCTAGCTGGATGACAGCATGTTTCAATACTCATATTTATTAAATCGCTCCCTATATAAACAAGACCTGCCGACTGTGCACAATGTCTGGCAGTTTTATAATGTTTATAAGTCTACAAGGAAATAGACCATCCAACTCATTCCCTCCCTGGATCCTTTTCCTCCTCCCATTTGATCAGAGGGATTTCCAGCCTGGCAGATCAAGATTATTTCACTTCGGAGGGCCAGGCACAGAACACTGTGAATAACTAAGCTCCCACTAACATCTTATACACTAGGAAGATTTAACCAAGCACAATCATCTGCAAAAGCCAATATAAAGATTTCATCATTCAGTGGGTGGCATAATAAGTTACTTCTGAAAGGATCACAGGTAGAGAATGAAAACAAACACCCTTCCTTACTCTACAGTTCAGAACCTGCTGAGGGATCATTGCTTGGTCCCACTTGGAAATAAAACTCAATAATCATCCTGAAAGGAACGATTCTACTGATAGTGAGACACACACTCGTGCCATTTCTGCTTCCTCATGTACCCATTACATCAATAGGAGCTACGCACATGCATAAGAGGGCACTATTTAGGCCACAGGTTATGTATCTACCTTAATTAGGTCAGTACAGTGAAACTTGAAAATACAGAGGACTTACTTCAAATTTTAGTTGCTTCTTGGAACCTGTGCGTGTGTCACATTCTTTTTCCAGTTTCTTTTCATCTCCACTGCAAACTCCATCTGTCTTCTCTGGAGGCAAAGCCACTGCAAAAAATATATTTAAGAAAAAAACACTTATAAGGGAATGTCAGAGTAGTCTTCTATTTGCAAATCTGCCTTATTTAGTGTGAAAGTGGATCTTGTAGTAGAGGATCATTAAACTTGATTTGCCTTTGTGTTCACTGTACATCTGGGATTATTTCAGCAGATTCCCACCAGCTTTTGGTACCAGCCTCTCCTACTAACCTTACCAGAGTCACAGGAGGTTCAAACACACTATTATGAGAAAATAAATTAACAGAACCACTACTGTAAATAAGTTGAAATATTCTGCAAGACTCTGAAGGATTGTGACATGCTGCAAAAACACACTGCATTCACTAAAAGGTTAAGCAGTAATTGCCTGAAAAAATATATTTCACCTATGCAGTTGCATAATTCAATAGCACTCAGAAACAGTATCGACATTAACATATATCCAAGTCTAGTTGAGGAATAAAAGACAAAATACCCAGAAACTTTATAACTCAGCCATATACCTATGCCTTTGGCTCAAAAAGTAGTACTCAGCCCTGCAGGTAATGAAACACAATAGCTGAAGAAAAGGAATTTTATATTCTATATTCATTAGACCTATGAAAATACACAGAGATTTTCAACCCTGCTCTCAATTTTACTTTAGATATGTATTTTTCATGTCTAAGGGCTTCTGCCAATAACCTTATACCTCTATTCTGCTAGGCAGAACAGTAATCCTGCCTGCCTCCATAAAACAGAAGACAGATTACAAGAACGGGGGCCTTAAAGCCTGCATTTTTCTCTTGCAATGTGGCATTTGCGTTTATCCAACACATTTATCCTAGTGCTATGTGGGAATCATTTCTTGGGGAAGCTTCTGTAAGTCAGATCTCACCTAAGTGCCAATTCAGTAAAGTCAGGTTCCTTACAAAAAGGGAAATATGATCCATTTTGCTTCAGAATAGATCATTTCAAACCAGGTTTACTCCCCGGCTCTGCTGGTGCTTAGTGCTACAGAGGCGCCTCCCAAACACTCTGCCAGGAGAATGCGGCACGACCAGCCCACACAAGGCAGTTGTATTTACCATTCTTCAACGTTTTCTTGCACGTATTGGAGCAAGCAGTTTAAAAAACCTCCCTTACCATAGCTTTATGCTCCCGAAGCTAAGATTTCTGCCATAGTGCTCAGACTGCCACCTATCACATTTTATAGTCTTACTTTTTTGTTTAATGCAATTGCATTTTGTATTGCATATACATTTTTAATCTGTAGGTGCTGCAAAGCCCCTGCATATATAGTAGAGACAAGGGAGCAAGAAGGCAGAAACATGATTTTCCTGACTTTGGTGCTCATGGGCAGTTTTGGTGTTATACCAATGCCAGTGTCCACAGACAGATGCGCAAACGCAAATAATGAGTCAGGATCTGACAAACATACTCACATGCTGATATACTTTGATTGCTCCTACGAGCCTTGCTTAGATTCCTTTCACCACACACAAGCTAAGGAGGAAGGTCAGCAAGAGGCTTCCCTCTTGATGGGGCCTTTCCTTGTCCATCTAACCAGGTGTTAATGGACAGGCAGAGTCTGTTTATTAGGAAGTTTTTGTACAGCACTTATCATAATGAATACACATAACACACGCTACTTATGACACAGAATTTTGGAGTATATCTGAAGCATAGCAATGCATCTTATATTCTTTTTCTCCATAAATACAGCTCCATGTTCTTAGTAATTCAAAGCTAAGACCAAAGAAAAAAAAAAAAGACTCCTATAAAACAAACAAAAAAAGACCACATCTGGAAACACTTTAAATGATCTACCTCTCAGCAGCCTTGCAGCCTCATTCTAAAAGCAACTTGAAATGAAAAGGTAACAAGGGCCTCATGAGAAGGACAGTTGCATGATCCAGCCAAGCTCACAGGAATACTCACTGCGAGGGACTTCTGCAGCGTCACAATCAATCCTTAAGGACTGCAAAGGGAAAGTTGGGCTAGTATGAGCCCTAGCTCTTTGGAACAATGGATAACCAGCTGAGAAGAACTTCTATGTCTATTATCACACCTACTTTTCAACATATAAAGGTATACACAGGCCAGAAGACTTCTACACTGTTCTTTTGTCCATGATGGCCGCAACTCAGCCTCCCAGACAACATGAGGCTAAGAGAATTTAGGAGCAGATCCTGTAAAAGGTGAATGTTCCCTGCCCCAATGCTCTTTGCTTTTTCTTTTTTTTTGTCCAAGTGTCGTGTTTTAACAAGTATGCTCTGAATTTCACTTCTGTCTTCTGCTGCTGCAAGTTCCTGGTGCGCGCAAACAGCACCCTTAGCTGGGTGGTTCAGCAAGGACAGAGCCACCAGCACCAAGTCGCCTTCGGGCTTCAAGGACTGCACGTCCACGGGCACGTTCAATAACCTTTCCAGGCAGAGAGTATGCGTGTTCAGAGAGGAAGTTTCTGCTTTAATGTATTATTTATGTAACAGAGAAAAAAATGTGCTCTGACAAATTAGCCCTCTCAAAAAACAAGAGTTCAACTATTGGGGAAGGAGGGGATACATCTTGCAGGATCCTCCTTCAGAGAGTTTAAATACTGTATGCCAGAAATTATCCTCTTTGAGCTTCGCTGACCTTTGATCTGAAGAACTCGCCGGCCTTGCTGCTCCGGGGAATTATCCTTTGAAAACAGTTACTCATTTCTGAGCTCAGATGAGATGGGGAAATCTGGTGATCTCATCTTGATGTCAGGTTTCATTCAAAAAAAAAAAAAAAAAAAAGAGGTCTAAATGAAGCAACTTTAAGTGGGAATATGAATATATTAAAGTAATACTTATGGGTGATCAAAAATGTGCTTGTGCATATATCCTTGTGTGCCTTATGAAAACCCAATGGACATTAAAAACTACGTACTGGAATATGAGTGTTTTTGTCTGAAAAGAGTGTATATATACTTGGTACCTTGTTTCTATACTTAGTTTTGACTATTGACACGCTGCTCAGCTTCATGAAGGCTACAAACACATGCTGAAGCTACTTATAAATAAAATGAGAATGTCTGTTTGGGACAGTTAAAACTGGCAGCCTGTAAACAGAGATCCACAAGCGAGCTGCATGCCAAGGTTCAGCTATACTCACAATGTGAACTTCCTTTCGGCTCTGCCAATGATATTAAACTAGACCAGACAAGATTGCTATCTCAAAGGACCGTGCAGAATTAATAGACTTGTGTTTCCAAAGTCTAGGCCATCAGAAATAAGTCCGCGTACAATATATCATCTGTACAAAAATACTTAGTTACCTCCCCTCTCCGATAACAAGTCCTGACAAAGAGAACACACTACGCAGACAAACACACAGAGAAAGCTACCCTTGTTGTTGTGGGAATCCACAACTGGAAAAAAAATATATTTATTACTTCTCATGGGAATAACCATATGCTCTCAAAAACAATGTTCCATAGCAGAATGTTTCATGAATTGAAATACTGCATATGTTTTCTTTATGATGTTCTCTTTTCTTGTTCATTATTAATGGTCCTGTATTCACTTCTATAACCTTAAGACACTATAAAAATGCGTCTGGACAATATTTGAAATTGGAAAGACAATAAAGGAAAAATATTAACTTGGAAAAATTGTGAAATACCATTCTTTCATGAAAAACAAACTCACTGGCTTAAGTGTACTAGCAGATGTTTCTCTCTAAGGATTCTTAATTACTACCACCCAATTGCTCATAATTGAGGTGGGGGAGGAAAAGAAGGAGAGAATGAACACCATTTTAGAGGTATTAAGACTCATCCCTGAAGAATTAGGTCTTTTTTTTCAAAGGTTTATTATTCATCCTTAAGAAAAGGAGCGGGTAATAATTCTAACTGCTCCCTAGAAATCACAAAAAAAATCATGGAAATGAGGTAAAACAGATTGCTGAGCTGAGTCAGTGTAGAATACTACGCTTCAGACAGCCAAAGCATTCTTCACTCACCTCTGCTCACATCTTGGAATAGGGGGAAAAAAAAATCAGAAAGCCAAAATAGAGCTGCAGTCAAGATGAAAAGTGTTTAACTTTCACCGTCACTCGGGTGGCTTGTCATTCCAGTTTTCTCAAAGCTTCATTCAAGCAAAGCACCATACTTCATAGCAAACAGTCTTCCTTCTCAAAATGCCAAGGTAGTTTCACTGTTCTTTTTTTTCGGCTGCACTAAGCATTTCAGTTGGTGGGATTAAGAGGATCTTGAAGCCAGAAACGGATGCATCTCTCTGGATGCTTCAAATACAACTACTTGGTCAAAATTTGCACAGTATTTATGAAAATTCTGGCTAAAGATGAACTGCTTCAGAGGTTGTTTGGTATGGTGGCCATTTAGAAAGGTATTGAGTGAATCACAGAAAGCAGAACTATGGGAGAAGCTATGAAATTAATATCCGCATCAATCACATATAATTTTTGAGAGAAAGTAGAATAAAGGTAATATTGGAAAACTGACAAAAATGCCACCTAGGAAATTCAGTGCCTGGCATACATGAAACAAAATCTTTCAAGTGAAATACTATTAGTTTCCCCCTAAAATTGGATAGACTGGATTCTATAGCAATGTTTTAAAGAGAACCAGCAGAAGCAATGGGACAACCGAATTATGTTTACGTGGGCAAAAGCAACAAACCACATACTAGAATCTGGGGCTTGTGGGTGAGCAGGATAAGAGAAAACCTAAGAAATGAATGGAAATAACAAGACAAAGAGATGAAGCATTTCTGTAAAAGCTCAAATTTAACTTAATTAGCAAAATTTAGCTGACGTAAGCATCGAAGAGCTGCTCCGACCAAGCTTAGTACCAAAATTCCTATTGATGTCAATAGGGTATGAGTTTCAGTTCAAATTTATGGGCCTACAGCAGAATGTAAAGTCAGAAACTATGACAGCAGAAGGGATAAAGTACTGTAATGCTTCTCCAGAAGTCTGATGTCTAAATTATCTGCTGCTGTCAACATTTTTTCATTGCAAATCAGATTTGACAAACATGA